ACCCGCCCTGACGAGATCCACTGACGATACACAACTATGACAATTTCCATCTCTGACCGAGTCATTTTTAATGATATACACCTTTATTAGTAATTAGCTTGCAATTCCAATTAGAACAAGAAAATGTCTTAAAAAATAGATAAATGTTCCAAGATCTACTCATCCTCGTATTTCCTGAACATCAGTTAGACCTATGGCTACATGTCTTAATACCGACCTACCATAGGCTGCCGACCATTAAGACCAACAATAAAACAATAAGGTGCATATCAAGGTCCTCCTCTTCCCCCAAGGCTTGCTATTAACCTTCCCCAAGATGCAACCTACATCAATTATTTAACTCCCTAGTACCTATTTACTGTTAGGTGAACAGTGGCACCAGGTGAAAGGAAACGCGCCCAAACGTTACACATGTTGACAGGTACTAATGTTCTAATTTTGATAATTATTAAATACCAGTAATACTAGGGAGAGGTGGTGGTAATGAGGAATTTTACCGACGAAGGGGATTATTTCTTTATAGCAATAAGCTAATCAGTAGCACACGGTCATTTGGTAATTGTGATTTAATACTGAGACTGCTTAGCAAGAATAGCAATAGGGTGGGATGCAAGTTTTAAGAAATTAGATGCTCTCTTACGTTGCGTTTGAATAACGAGTGCATTGCCCAATTCCTTACGTCATTAGGAAGAGAATTACAGTGGTTTGGTCACTTTATTTGCACGATGTGGGTTGCATGGATTAAATTGGCTTTGGAGAATGCCAGAGAGATACTTGTTTCTTGTGTAATGGGTACTATTTGATCCTTTCAGGAAGTGCTCCAAGGCAAGGTTAGTATTGAACATTAGTTAAATGATGAAATTTAGGCCCTTCGCCAAGCGATGGAGCCTGAATATTATTGTATGAAACTTTGCAGATATAAAGAGGACGATCAACTGTATAGACTTATACAAAATGTATTCTCAGTATGCTTGAACAAAGGCATTGTAAGTTGTCTGAGGTCAGCTGATTATTGTTCTAACAGCTGATTATTGTTTTCAGGCGGTGGGGATGAGGTAGTTTGGGTTGGTTGAGACCCATGTACAGATACCCCCAAGATTAACTTAAATTAGTGAGTAATGCAGTCTGAGAAGAGCGAGCACTATGTAAAATACTATTTTAAAATCTAAGGTAAAATGCTGAAACTACATTTAGAGAAATGCTTGTTACGCCTCGTTTGAGATTAATATTTATGTTAAAACACCAGAAACAATTCTACGTCAATGTTATCGAGCTAATTCTGAAAGAGAACCATCGTCTTAAAAGACACAGATGAATCATAAGACGATAACCAGTGTTAGATAGTACTAATCAACAAAGTGCGAGGACAGATACAGACGGACAAATAGACCCAACACAAAAGGAAGCTAGTAACACTAGGAAGTATTAGTGACTCAAAAGAATGAAACACAAAAATAATGAGACACTGCTCGCACTGTGTTCATTAGTGCTATCTAACTCTGTGTTATCATCTTATAGTTCATCTGTGTCTTTTAAGACGATGACTATATTCCAGAATTAGATCGATAACATTGACGTCGAATTGTTTCTGGGGGTTTAACATACATATTAGTCTCAAACGGGGCGTAACAAGCATTTCTCTAAATGTAGTTTCAGCATTTTACCTTAGATTCTAAAATAACTACATTACCATGAGCCCGTTGAGATTGCCGCAGGTCACTAGGCTACGCAATATGTCCGTTCGTCGAAGAATTTTAAAACCAATCTAATACAATCTAACCCCCCCCCCCACCCCCTTCAGTTTAGCCTAATATAACCGAACACATCATAACCTAATTACATGGGTTATATACACCGAGAAGCGTATCCTACTTCTTTGTGTATATTCACTGAGAGTTTCAGTGTATATGTCAACTCGTTCTCACGAGCGTTCCAAACGTCAAGAAACTCGTACTAAAGTGCCTTATCTTAATCTGCCAGAGGACCCACTAACAGAAAATGGGGACATTATGCCAATTTCGCGAGCCGCTGCTTTTTCTTGTACGACCGTTTTTTGGCCTTAGGTAAAATATACGTCAAAATGCAACGTGCTATTAGGAGGACAAGCTGATAATTTAACGGTATTTACAATTTTATCAATTAGAAAATGAACTTTGTGCGAAATGCCAATGTACGATTTCACCATATTACGTTGGGATGCCGTCTAGTGCATCACCCTGGGTTAAAGTGTATTGCAGTAGCTTTTGGATACATTTTCCAGTGATCACAAAATACAGTTACACGTCTCATATAAAAATAAATCATTGCTAGGAACTTTCTTAGAGTTGTCCGGTTGTAGATCCACAAGTGTGGTAATGATATGACTGAGACCTATTAACAAAAAGTCTGCTATAATTTAAAATCTTGGAATACGCCTTTGATACGATTTGACACAATTCTTGTGCGAAATCAAAGACTTCCTGTAATATTCATGACATTTAAGATGCACATCATGCCAGTTTGCCTGACTGGGCAGGCTCCTACGAGTTGGAATGACGCTGAAACAATGTCATGAGACGGCCGTGATCTGATGGGCGCGTGTAGCTACCTGATTAATACTTCATTTGATTCGTTCAGCAGGTAGACTAGACTACCTTCAGAAATATTTCAATATTTCGACCCTCGACACAAGTCGAGCCTGGCCTCGGGCCGGGCTTGAGAGTAGAAGAACTCCCAGAACCCCCCCATCAAGCAGGTACCTTGCGCACCGAGAAAATAATTTATTTTCTGCGTTAGTGCGTTACAAGCTTGTACCTGTTGAGTCACATGATACGTCTTCAAGAAACTATCTGGGTCCTGTAACGCAGTAGTTTGTCATCGGGTCACAACCGAGGGACTCTTGCTCAATTCCCGGGGTAGGATTGGGACGGTTGAACATGTTTCCTTTTACCTGATGCCTATGTTCACCTAACAGTAAAGATGTATCCAGGAACTAGACAATTGTTATGGGTTGTGTCCTAGGGAAGGTTAGTTGTGAGGGGGAAGGGGGGGGGTCCTCGACAAGCCTGAATACAAGCTTCCTGTTCCCGGCAACGAGAAACCAAATTAAGTTTAACATGTAAGATGTTGGGCACGGCACTGTAACACAGTTAATTGGTCCGCAGCCTATCCTTGTACGAGAAGTGAATTGTAATTGTTAAGGTCGATAGGGCTTGTTATTGTGCGGCCAGACCTCATACGGCGAACGGTAGCGAGAAAGTATTACGGAACATGAAGGTCATTACGCTAACGAACCCGAGGTGTAGTTAATTATAACTGTATAATGCAATATTGATAAATTATATATTACCAGTATTAAATAGCAGTTGGTTTATGTGATCGGAGTAGGTAGAGGAAGGCGACGAGTCACAATAACGTGGCTGAAGTATGTTGACCAGACCACACACTAGAAAGTGAAGGGACGGACCGAAACGTCGTCGTCCCTTCACTTTCTAGTGTGTGGTCTGGTCAACAGGTAGAGGAAATCACCCCCAGATCCTCAGCTAGCAGAGACCTAAACTACCATTGCATGAAATAGCCCCAATACTGTAGTAACAAGATACCCTGAATTCTTGCAGTGTAGCTATATTTTTCTTCCGGAAACGGAAAACGTATGTAAACAATTATACAGAATATGTAGCCAAAATCATAGCTGAGTGTGTCCATGTTAAATACTACATGTAAAATTACACGTACAATTATTTTAACAATAAATAATAATTATATTGCTATCAGTAATATAATGACTCCCTCTAAAATGTATTGTATAAGTTACATGCAGACATAATATACTGTAAATAATTCACAGAAGAAAATTATTTAATACGTTTATGCTAAATACACAACATAAACATATGTAATTTATTACACAATTAGTATCTCCTCTTTTCTAACGCATTGTCTCAATGAGTGCAAGTAACTATATTTATATTTTCTCGATTAAAGAAACATTTTATGTTTATTGAGAAAGATCGACCATGATCTTACACACACACACACACACACACACACACACACACACACACACGGAACACAAGGGGAACACGCACTAGGGGACACAGGTGGAAACTGAGTGCCCAAATGAGCCACAGAGATATTAGAAAGAACTTTTTTAGTGTCAGAGTGGTTGACAAATGGAATGCAATAGAAAGTAATGTGGTGGAGGCTGACTCCATACACAGTTTCAAGTGTAGATATGATAGAGCCCAATAGGCTCAGGAACCTGTACACCTGTTGATTGACGGTTGAGAGGCGGGACCAAAGAGCCAGAACTCAACCCCCGCAAGCACAACTAGGTGAGTACCCACACACACACACACTAGGTGAATACACACACACACACACACACACACACACACACACACACACACACACACACACACACACACACACACACACACACACACACACTACATTATTGAGTGTCCAGTCATTAGACCCCTTCAGACCGAGCGGTATGAGGAACATGGAGCTTTGTAATGACTTTATTAACTCTCGTGTTCTTGAGGATATCCTCACACTGCATCCAGAGTTAGCAAACGCAGGTGAGATGGGGAATTTTTTAACATCTCATATCTAGCTCTTTGATACACACACGCTATGTAACCCTTCATATAGTCTAGGGTGGCTGCATAAATTCAGGTGTATCTAATTATGATACTAATAACAAACTGAAAATGGGTTCGATAACTTCGAAATTATCTGGGATTTTCATATAATATTTTTTTCGTGAATATTACACATTTCATACAGCCAAGACATTAATTCATATACTGCAGATCAAATTTCCACTTGCAGCCTAATACGGAAAGACTAATACAAGTAATAGAATTAATATACATATATTTATATACTATACTCAGTATACTATACTACACTATAGTATATATACAATTTTATTATTAATACTGCACCATAATTTTTTTTAGTATTTTGGTAACATTTAATTTGCAAAGTTTACACAATCAGATAAAGTTAGTTACCTTTGTATCGAGGAATCCCGTCTCGATGAAGGATTATATAGTGTAGTATTCAGTGCTGTCCTCAACAGTTTGAGTTACACTGAAGCGATACTGATGTCCTGGTGGGGAGCGAGGCTCTTGGACTGTTGCAGATACTTTTTTATAGACATTCAGACTAATAATACAGCCTTGATTTCCTCCCTCATAGCTGTGTCTCAAGTCTTGCCTCAATGTGCTTGAAATGTCGTGTAAGCGCGTTGATCTAAGGAAAAATTGCTTTACAAGGAAAGGATTTAGAGAGAGAAGTTGTGTGAGAGAGAAGGTGTGGCAGCTACTCCTCACGCCAGCAGGACGCGCACTCAGATTAGATAGGCTATCATTTCGCCATGGATAGAAAGACGAATATTTTTGGCTTATATTATTTTGCGGTATGTATTGTGACACAACCACGTTGTCGATGACCCACGCCATTGGTCACTAAAAGTTTGATTATTCAGTTTTTTCAATATTTCCTCCCTCTTACATGTCGGATAAAATCTTTTTTGCGAAAAAACGGGCATTCTTATTATTCTCTCTATATTCCTAAATGGTAAATTTATACAAAGTCTTTGAATTCTTTGTCGAACCCCAAGAACTTATATACAGATGACGTCTCAATATATTTCTCAGTTCCTGCTCGTGAAGTCACAATTGCCAATCTGTCAAGTTATACCTAGACACTTAATACGTGGTCTTGTAATGGTGGTTGGTCGTGTCCTCGCCAGAGATACACTGGTGGGTTGGCCTGCAATCCAGGGACATGATGGATGTCGCACCCGCGGGGCGGGGCGCGACATCCATCGCGGAAAGTGTTAAGTGTTAAACAGCGGGCGCTTTGGGGTGTTAACGGGGCCGCGTTAACACCCCATAGTGTTAATAACACTATGGGGTGTTAACGAAAGTGTTAACACTTAACACTAAGCGTTAATATGTTATTTACACTATGAAGGAGAGGTTATATCATTGATGGCTACATATTGGTGTCTGTCACTAAGATAGGATCGAATATAGTTCAGCGCAAGCCCTCGGATTCCATAATGGTGGAGTTTAAGTAAGAGGTAGTTATGGTTAACAGTATCAAAGGCCTTTCTCAGGTCAATTTAGAGTCCAATCGGGAACTCATTTTTCTCAAGGGCTGAGTAGATTATATGAAGCAGACTAATAATTGCATCGTTGGTACTTTTTTTGGGAGCGGAAGCCAAACTGACAGGGACTTAGTATGTCCCTTAGTACCTCAGGTAAATGTTGAATTTTATGAGGTAGGAGTAGAGCTGTTTGTAAATAATTAAAGCACAGTTTCTAATGTAAGCAACTGAAATATGTGGAGAGCTAGTGTCACAATTGACACGCCAGGAGTCCACTGTCTCCTGCTTATGCAGACGCCGAAAGGCCAACGTTCAAGCCGGAAAAACGTGTAAATCAGTCAACTTTAATTTGGCCCCAGGTATCATATCAGTTCGGATGCTCAAGAATACCATTCGCAAAATTCATCACAACCTAAAGTGTCAAAATTACAACACATTTTCCGGCGTTATCTTCACAACGCAAGTAACAATGAGTCTACCTGCAGGCCGAATACGTTTTCTTTTAGTGTCTACTCACTAAAGAAAATGTGAATTTCGCCACGTGGTGTGTGAGACTAATGAGAATGTGAATAGCCGAAAGTAACTTTATTTTATATATATTTATTTATATATACAAGAATTCTTGCATTATTGTACAGAATTCTAGCACAACTAAGCGAAATAATAATATTTTCTAGGAACAACCCACAACAGCTGCCTATTTTCCATGTAGCTATTACTGCTAGGTGAACAGAGATGCAAGTGAAAAGAAACGTTGTCCATATTTATTTATTTATTTTATTTATTTATTTATATACAAAAAGGTACATTGGGGGTTAACAGAGAACATAGAAATTAAGTTGATTTTACATTCTTGTAAAGCCACTAGCACGTATAGCGTTTCGGGCAAGTCCTTAAACTAACAGATAATTTTTTAGATAATTTACAGTAAATTGACAAAAAAAATGTTTACATGTACTTTACAGCTTTACTTTACAGGTACAGATAATTTTAAGTAGATTAATTATAGTAAAATTGACTAAACATGTTTACATGTACATTGTAAGAAATTTTGACACAAGAATTAGAATAATACCTCTAATATTCTAATATAAATATAAATAAATAAATATAAATATGTTTATTCAGGTAAGGTATATACATACAAGTGATGTTACATTAATGGATTGATATATAGATAGAGCTAGTACATACAATGCCTAAAGCCACTATTACGCAATGCGTTTCGGGCAAGAAAAACATTAATATCTAGAACTTAATACTAATTGAGCATAAAGAATAAAAAGTGTTGAGAACAAATACAAATCAAGATAAAAAAAAAAGGGGAACATGACTGAAAACGCAGCACAAATACAATAGGTTGACAAACAGTGTTGATTAAAAAAAGAAATAACAGACATGGGTTGACAATAGAGTAGTGAGGTAGGTTACAGGGAATTTATTAGGTAGTGTTTAGTTTTTATCTTAAACTGGTTGAGAGAGGTACAGTCTTTAACATGGTTGGGAAGGTCAACCTATATGAATAGAATAATACACAATAATGAACAAGGATTTCGAGGCACATTAGGATAACATTTCAGGGTTATATATTGGTTCACTGAAGCACAATATGTAGATCAATTCAAGGAATAATACAGTAGAATATGCACTCAATTTAATAACCATGATATCAGATGATATCTAAAATTACAATGTACCCAAGCCATATTACAAGTAATATGGCTTGGGTACAAATATTGGGGGATTGAGTAGCATTAGATACAGTGCGAGATAAAGCACTAGGTAGAAAACTATGAAGATGAAATTAGGTACTTTTTGGCTTTATTTTTGAATAAGGTAAAAGTTAGACAGCTTTTCAATTCATTAGGGAGTGAGTTCCATAGACTAGGTCCCTTTATTTGCATAGAGTGTTTACACAGATTAAGCTTGACTGGGGATATCAAAGAGATATTTATGTCTGGTGTGGTGAGTATGTGTTCTATTACATCTGTCCAGGAATAGTTTCAGAACAGGGTTTGCACTTAAGAAAAGGGTTTTGTAAATGTATTTGACACAAGAGAATGTATGGAGTAAATGTATGTTTAGGGATTTAAACAGGGGAGCTGAGTGTTGTCTGAAAGCAGAGTTTGTTATTGTCCTGATAGCAGATTTTTGCTGGGTGATGATGGGCTTCATCACCCCAAGCACAGGTATCATAAGTAAGATAGGGATAGATAAGTGCATAATAGCGAGAGGAGAGCAGAGTAGGGTACACAATACCTGATCTTAGAGAGTATACCAACTGCTTTAGAAACCTTTTTAGTTATGTGTTGTATGTGGGTGCTGAAGTTGAGTCTCTTGTCTAAATATTGGCCAGGGACTTTCCATAATTTTTCTTGCTAATGTTTACATTATCTATCTGAAGCTGAATTGCATTTGTTGATTTGCTTCCAAATAAGATGTAGTAGATCTTTTCTGTTTAGTGTGAGTTTGTTGGTTGATATCCACTAACACTTTTTTTTAACTCATTGTTTATAACATTATTTAATATGAGTGGGTTGGGGTCAGAGTAGATAGCAGTATCATCTGCAAACAATATAGGTTTAAAATATGCATGTTTAAATAGTAATATATTATTGCTATTTAAATAGCAATATATAAATGGCAATATATATATTAAATATTTAGTGTCGTGCCGCAGGGATTGTACTTGAGACCCTTGACTTTGAGCCGACTATGTAGATTTGAAGCTTTAATATCAAATAGTGGTACTGCAGGTTTGGCAACAGAACTGCAGTAATTCGGTTTAAATAGAACCTGACTTGTATTCAAGTAGGGTATACTTGAAGTATGTTTCAAGTATGTTTATTGAGATAAAAAGAAATACATCTCAAAGGGATAGAGTAGCTTAGGCTATTTCTACCCCCCTGACTTGTATTTGCTTAGGATTATGGCTTTATAAATTTGATAGACTAAAAATACACTGTATACGTATATGTATACTAACCATCTAGCCCGTCCTCACGAGCGTTCCCACACTCAAGAAACTGCGGTACCAAAGTGCCCTTATCCTAACCAACCAGAGGGTCCACAAACAGAAAACGGGACCGTATGTCAATTTCGTGAATCGCTGCCATTTTCTTGTACGATAATTTTTGGCCTTAGGTTGAGTATACGTCAAAATGAGACGTGCTATGAAGATGACAACTAGATTATCACCGTTGTAACTTACTTGACCAAATGAACAAATTAAAATGAATTGTTGATATATATATATTGTGACGGTAACGCGTTGGTGTTCGGCTGTTTAAGGCTAGGGGTATGGCCTCGTCACATAGTTATAAAAAAAAATAGAAAAAACTGGAACTTCGTCTGTGGTAAGGTAAGGAGAAGACACACAAAACACAAGTAAACTTTAACAATGAAATTTTAATTACGTTAAATAAATCAAAACATGAAAATAATGCACAAACAAATTCTTATAATAAAATCAATCAATCAAAATAATAAGAATACTTAAATGACACAATGAAAAGTTACGTTAAGGCAAAATAACAAGAAGTGCAACACAAAGTTAAGTGGGAGGTGCTGGAATATTGGCTTAAAGCCACCACCTCTCTCAGTACACGCTAACGTCTAGCTGGGAGGAGTGCTGGCTACGAAAGCACTGAACATTCTGGAGACTGATGTTGGGGCGACCCCAGACATCAGGTAGTATTGGGGGGGGGCGAGGCAGGTGCAGCCAGACCGGCGACCAATCAGCGGAGCCGTAGCGATCAACATGTAGTTTGGTGATTTGGGTCCGAACAGGTGGCTGGCTGCATACGTTTTTGCTCACCCTGGCAAGCCTTGCTGGTGTTGTTGTCGTTGTTGGACATTTCTTCCATAGTCTTTTTATATAATTGTGAAGACGTAATTATGGAGGGAAGAGCAGGCTCAATCTCTTGAAGGAGATTATCGTCACAACTCTCCCCCGAAGCCTGCGGTTCTGGAAGAAGTACGTCGTTATGTGGTGGAGTAATGGATGGAGTTGCTTCTACTTCATAAACTCTGGAGAGGGCATCGGCTAGGGTGTTGTCAGAACCCTTGATATAGCGGATCTCCAGGTTGAAGTCTTGTAAATACAGAGCCCATCGTAGAAGACGCTGGTTGGTGAATTGGGCTTGATGTAGGAAGCGGAGAGGGTTGTGGTCTGAGAAGATGGTGGTAGAC